ATTTTAATTTAACTAATTGATTAATTACAATTATTTATCTATCAATAATGTTAAAATAAAAATTACTCCATTTAATTTTAATAATTTAGAAATTCTTTTATTTTAGAATGTAAATTTTAAATAAAAATATAACAACTATTATATGTAATTGAAAATTTTCTTTATATATGTATATATAATTTTTTGAGTAATTTTAATTGATTAAAAAATTTTAATTATTAGTTATATAATATGTTAAATTTTTATTTAAAAAATCAAATTAAACTACTAAAATTAAATAAAAATAATACTAACTTTTATTTTTTTATACAAATTAATTTTAAAAAATATATTTACATCTTAAACATAAGAAATTAGTGTGTATTAGTCTCAATTTTCAAAAAAAAATAAAGTTTTAACTTATATTTAAAAACTAAATTTTCAATTTAAAATAAAAAAATCTAATTAGTTTTTGAAATCAGAATATTAATATTTAATAAAATAAATTTTTAAATTTTAAATTGAATTTTAATTAAATAAAACGATATAATTTAATATTAAGATTTTAATTTTTTTAAGAGTTGAAACTGATATGTATTTTTCTTAAACATAATTAAAATAAAAACACTTGCTTTATTTTGAATAATGATAAATTAAATCAAAATCTAGAACTAATTAATGATATGGTATAAATTATATCATTTAAAATATTAAAAAATAAATCTTATATTATTTAATAATTACTTTTTTTGATTTCCTTTTAAATTATAATATTATAGGCATTAATAAATTTAATGATATGCACTATAAATACAGAACATGATTTTATCAGCTATGTTATTTTACATCAGAAATTAATAGCTCTTCCATCATAAATCCGTTAAAGAAACGTAACAATTTTTATTGATGGTTAAAACTTAAATCACTAATTTGTTCCTAAACTTTCAGTTTTGGTCACCAATTTGATCCCTAAAATCGGAGAGTTATTTCAAATTTTTTTTAATCCATGCTTTAAGGTATAACAATAAATATATTTTTATTATTAATTTATATTAAAAAATAAAAATTATTCTTTTATTTATTAATTATTTTAGTAAATTTATTTATTTAATATTGACATTAAAATTAATATTAATTTTTATATTATATATTTATAAAAAAATATTTTAAAAATACAAATTAAAAAGCATTTTAAAATTGCTAAGTAAATAAGGATATGTTTGTCATTATAGAAGAAGTTTGAATCTAACATCAAAATAGGTGCAAAATTAATTAAAAATTCTTTAATTAATGAGACTTTTTTTTATAGTAAGAAACATGATTAATAAGTTAATATCTGTTCAAATACCAATAAAAAAATTGAACTAATAATCATGTGTTGTGCTCCATTTTACTTTTCATAAAGAGAAATGTATCTACTTAATCCACGTGGATTACAATTAATGAGACTTATATTGTAATACCTAACACATGTTAAAAAATAAAAAAAAAAAAACCCTCCATGTACGTCCCTCATACGGTGCAATTAATGAGACTTACATTGGAATACCTAACATGTTAGAAAATCAATCTCAAACCTTAAGTGTTTGGATAAGGTGGCTAGAAAATCAATCTCAAACCTTAAGTGTTTGGGTGAGGTGGTTAGGGTTTTGAGTGAGGTGGTTAGAGTTTTGAGTTTTACTACTATCGTAAACTCCATAAAAAAAGTAGCGCGATAACCACGTGCCTCATTTAAAGGGGTGAAATGTTCATTCGGTTTGGTAATCGAATCCTTAATTGCTAACAATTAATTCAAACTAACTTCTTAACCATTAATTTTGTCCAAAAAAAAAAAAAAACCCTCCATGGACGTCAGAAACACATCGTATCGCTGAATTTCTGGAAGCAAATCCCTTTTCCACACAACATCAATGCATCATCATCTCTGGTAAAAATCCCTACTCCCTAATTTAAAGAAATTGAGAACACTTAAACCAACAAAGTCACGACAGATGGAAGACCTTCAACTAAACATTTCTTTGGCATCTTCTCAAGAGATTTGCTTGTTCTGGCGAAATCTCTATAATGATTATTTAACATCATAAATAAATAAAAATACTTGTCCTATATCAGAATAAAGAACACCAATATCCATGCAAAATCCAACACGACGCGGGCGCAGGTAACTGTCCGTGTCATTTAAATAAAACTTCACAAAGCATTCCACCCACCCCATGTGGGGCGCTGGCGTCCATGCTGAAAACCCTCAGTTTCTCACGTCGGGTGTTTCTCAGGTCCGGTTTAACCTGTTACTTAGAGAATAGACATTAACTTAATTTAATATTATAATTTCTTTTGTTAAAAAAAAAAAAAATCACAAACTAAGTTTCTCACGTCGGGTGTTTCTCAGGTCCGGTTTAATCTGTTACTTATAACAGGTTCTAACTTAACCTAATATTATAGTTTTTTTGTCCAAAAAAAA